AATTAGTGCTGTCCTTTTTGCACACTATATCACAACTTCCATCCTAGGGAAAATCCTAGAAAAGTTCTTCAAGGAGTCTATCTGTGATAAGCTGGCAGAAGGTGAGATTCTGCATGACAGCCAGCATGGCTTCATCACAGGCAGGTCTTGCCTTACCAACCTCACCTCCTTCTATGACCAGGTAACTCGCCACCTGGACACGAGAGAGCAGGTTGACATTGTATACCTTAACATCCAAAAGGCCTTTGATCTAGTATCCCACGATGTCCTCATGAGAAAATTGGAGGATTGGGGGCTTAACTCCAAGACAGCCAAGTGGGTGAGAAACTGGCTGCAGGATCCAGAGCATTGTAGTGAACAGATCTGTGTCATCCTGGCAAGAAGCAGGCAGCAGTGTCCTGCAGGGGTTGGTGCTTGGCCCAGTACTTTTCAACATCTTTATTATTTGGATGTGGAGGTGAAGAGCTGACTGGCCAAGTTAGTGGATGACACCAAGTTATGGGGAAGCGTGGTCACACTTGAAGATAGGCTACAGATACAGGTGGACCTAGACAGACTAGCAAGTTGGACGGATCGGAATCTGATCAAGTTCAATATTGAGATATGTAAAGTGCTCCACCTCAGGACAAGCAACCCCCAACACACCTACAGGCTTGGCGGCACCAAACTGACTAGCACCACGAATGAAAGGGACCTGGGGGTAGTACTAGATCACAGAATGAATATGAACCGGCAATGTGATGCTGTAGCCAGTAGGGCAAATAATACTCTGGCATGAGCCAGTAAGGCAGATAATACTCTGGCATGCATCAGTCGATGCATCTCCAGCAAAACGAAGGCAGTGATTCTTCTGCTCTACTCAGCACTGGTGAGACTTCAGCTGGAGTACTGCATCAAGTTCTGGGCACCACACTTTAACAAGGACATGGACAAGCTTGAGAGAGTCCAAATAAGTGCCACATGTATGATTAGAGTCTTACATGGCAAGCCATATGAGGAAAGGCTGAAGGATCTGGGACTCTTCAGCCTGAAGAAAAGAAGGCTGAGAGGGGACCTGGTAGCAGCTTACCGCCTCACTAGGGAAATACATCAGGGGCTCGGTGAGTAACTGTTCACCAGGGCACCCAAGGGGAAAACTAGGTGTAATGGTTACAAACTCCTGGAAGATTGATTCAGGCTCAACATTAGGAAAAACTTCTTCACAGTCAGGGAAGACTGTGGAATAAACTCCCTGCAGACGTGGTGCAATCACCTACCCTGAAAATCTTCAAGAGACTAGACAGTTACCTTGCTGGGGTCACCTGACCCCAGTTATCTTTCCTGCTTGGTGCAGGTAGCTGGACCCGATGATCTTCCAAGGTCCCTTCCGGCCTTACAATCTATGAATCATTCAACTGTTACAAAAATCAGAAACACAATCCAGCGGTCCTTATCATCTCTTTTCTCACATAGAATTTTATCTATCTCTTGCATGCTGCTATGCAAACATTAAATATCACATGCCTTGGATGGGGCAGGGGAGGCTGGAGCCAGCAACTATGTTGCCCCAGCATCCTTACATGGGGTCCTGGGAACCAGGGAAGCTGCAGTCATGGTGCTCCTGCAACTTGTGCAGCACCCCACTTTTTTCCTCTGTGGGTTTTTTTGACCTCTGGATCTCTAGGGGTCAAAAGACAAACATACCATGCTGCAAGGTAGCAGTGCGGAGAATATTTGAATGTGTGGTGTGTGTCATGAATGACTTGTGCCCCTGGTGGCTGGGGGGGGCACAGCAGCAGCAGTGACAGGAGTGGCAGGAGCAAGGCTGTGGTGAGTGGGGGAGCTCCTGCAGATGCCACCGGCGCTGTTGGTGGTGGGGAGGTGGGGTGGCAAGCGCTAAGGGTTGGTGAGCACCCGCAGTCACTGCCAGCAGTTGCCGTTAACGAGGTAACCAGTTTTAAACAGGCAATTTTTAAGTGGTAGCTAACTCATTCTTAATTTAGAACAAAAATAATAATGCCTTTCTTTCAAAATCCATTCAGTGATTTCACCTGCCTTATCACCTGTGAAAGCCATTATACAAATCTGGCTTTGCTCCTTACCAGTCTGGACTCCCAGGGAAACAGGTATTGTTGTAAAAGTTTGAAAAAAATATTCAAGACAGAAAACAGGTGAGGTCAGCAGTAGATGATAAACACTTCCATTATGTTTATACTTTACCAAACTTATAAACTCTGCCAGTAGGATCACAGAATGTACTTTACTGCCTCAGATCAGATGTTGCAAAGGAAAGTGCAAGGACAGACATTCTCCCTTAACCTCTCCATTTAAAGTAGCAAAGACAAATTGAAATCCAAGTCCTTTTTTTAACAAGAAAAAACTAAAATGTAGTTTCAGAGACTACATCTGCCTGGCCCCCCTCCCAGTCCATTTTTGTGGTTTTATAATCATGTTTTTCCATCTCTCCTAAAATATTTTCCTTTTCTGCCTTACAGCGTAAAGACTGCACAACCAGCAGGGAAATTTGACTGACAATTCAGGGAGCACAGCATTTGATCTTACACAGTGCTACTGTATGAATAACATAAACCAGGAAATGTAATATTCCTTTACTATCTACTTACGATAATCCTCGATATTACTGATAACAATAGTAAGCACAAAGAATTCAAAGAAAATGAGTTTTCCAACCAGGTACCTGTTTTTTCCCTTTCTCTTCACTGTGGACTCCTAAGTACATACATGTGGACTGAGCATGCACAGTAGGCTACACACTGGCTAAGCATATATATGGCTACATGCACATATACCTGAGCATAAACCCGGGAAAAGGCTGTAGGGGGAGAGGAGTCAAGAAAGGGAGATGTGTGGGGCTAGATGGAAGAGAGCAAGCTGGAGGTGTGTTGCTTACTGAGATAGATGCTGCTCTGGAAGGTGGAAAGCTCTGCATACTAGCTTGGGCCTTTGCCCCCAGTGAGGCAGAAACCATTGCACTGCTCTCCAATGATTTTATCCAATCATTATGAATACAAGGGACAGTGGCACAGCTTCAAAGGAGCACTGGAAAATGGACAGGACAGGATAAGCCCAAACCCATTGCCTAGTGGTTTGAGCCTTGTGTTAGCAAACTGCAAGCACAAGTTCAGAACTCATCTGGGCAAAGGGGTCCTAAAACTGATGTCTCCTGCTTTCTATACGAGTGTCCTAACCCCCTGGTTCACAACCCTGCCATGGCTGAGTGAAAATGCTCCTTATGCTTTGTGTGGAGCCTAATGCAGGCAGCAGCGCTAGATCCTGCTCTCACCTGTTCCCAAGCTGGCTCCACAGAAGTAGGGCACTCTCACCCAGCTGTGGTGGCAGCAGCAGCACCCCAGTTGAGAACCGGAGGTAAGCTGAGACAGTACCACAGTGATCCTCAACTGGGGTTCAATTAAATTCAGAAGTTATACCCAACTGGGTCTGCTGGGTATTCAGTATTCTTGAATGCCTGGCTTCTTAGTCAGGTGCTGACATGGATGTAGAAACCTAAGCATCAGCACCCTTGAAAGTTTTGCCTGTGATTTTAAAGCTGATGATGTCCTTTGATTAGCTACAGCCTCAGACTCAGTGGAGAAATCGGTGAAAAGCTCAGAGAGATAGAATAAGTCGTTAATGCTATTTTTTTATTTTGTAGAAAATGCTTTTATACAGCATCTGACTTACTGGTGTATTGATATTTTCAAACAAATGAACAAACAATTTCAACAACTTTGTAACTCTGGACACAGATGGCAAAGGGGCGACATGTATATCCACTGTCGGGTGCTACAGATCACCAAAACAATGGAGAAGGTGGTATCTGTAAATGTACAGTGTCCATCCTTCCAGAGCCTTAGTAAGCAGAGGTGCAAGTTGATGCTTCTAGCAGCCATTTTAACTTCTCTTTCTTATTATATACTCAGTTAGTGATCATGTCCAGAACAGCAGCAGCTCCCATAGAAAAATCAACTCTATACAGCACACTTTTTAAGGCTCGAAATGACAAAAACCCTAAAGCACATTCTTTATATTAAGTTGGCAATTGGTTGTCCCACTACCATCCCAAGATCAACAGGCTTTTAATGGGATTTAGGCTCTTAAGTCACTTGGAATCTTTTGACTCAAATTCTTAAAATCTGTGTAAGTTTGTAAAAAAAATGGTGTAAGTGTGGTGTTGGATCAGGGCCTTAAAACACAAAGGATGCCAGAAGTAAGGCATAGAAAGGTTTCTTTAAAGTACAGCCAACTCTCCTGGACTCCTCTCCTGCACAGATTGGCTTCCCAAGGGATTCTGCCCATGAGTTCCCTGAGCAAGTTGAAGTCTGCTTTTCTGAAGTCCAGGGTCCTTACTTCGCTGCTCTCCATCCTTCCTTTCCTCAGGATCCTGAACTCAATCATCTCATGATTACTGCTATCCAAGTTGTCACCCACTACTACATTACCTACCAATTCATCCCAGTTTGTGAGCAGCAGGTCAAGAAAAGCATGGCCTCTAGTTGGCTGCTCCAGCATTTGCACCAGGAAATTGTCCCCAACACTCTCCCAAAACTTCCCGGATTGCCTGTGCACTGCTGTATTGCCCTCTCAAAAGGCGTCAGGGTGATTGGTTCTCAAGGCAGACTTCAGTGCCTGTGATCAGGGAAACTTCCACTAGCTGTTTGAAGAAAGCCTCCACCACTTCTTCCTGGTTTGGTGGTCTATAGCAAACCCCCACCATGACATCACCCTTGTTGCTCTCCCCTCTGACTCTAACCCAGTCAACAGGCCTATCTTCAGTTTCATACTGGAGGTCTGAGCAATCATATGGCCCTTTTACATAAAGTGCAACTCCCCCTCTTCTCCTCTGCCTGTCCTTCCTAAACAGTTTGTACATCCATGACAGTGCTCCAGTTATGCAAGTTATCCCACCGAGTCTCTGTTATTCCAATCATGTCATAGTTCCATGCTAAGATGTGCTAAGATTATTTAAAAACTTTGACTTGGAGGAAAAAAGAATTTCTCTCTTTTTTTTTTGGTATCTAGATAGCAAATATCTTTTGTGTTTAAGGAAAAAATAGTCACCCCAGATTTATACTATCCCAATCCTATATTATACAAGCAAAGAACTTACTTTTTAAATATGCCTATGTGATTTAGGTACCTCTGTCCTGTGGAAAGTCATTCAGATGTTTGTTTGTTTTTAAGTTCACTTCTAATTAATACTAGATCTGGTGTTTCCTTTCTTGAACACTGATGTGCATTAACTCTCCACAGATGCATCTGGAATTACCTCAGTATAACATTAGTCTGGGTAAAATTAGAGAATCTAGCCATTGCCTTTGGTGTGATAACTCATACGTACCAAGAAAACAGAACTTGGCCTAATTAGCATGAAATTAATATGATAAATTCAGTATTTTGTATCTTGCATAAATTTAAGTGAAACTGATGTTCATTCAACCACTAGGCATGGAGATGGAATTGCCTACAATCAAATACACTACAAGATACAGCAGCAATACAAATTCCTCCATAATACACTGTCAGAGTATCTCTGGAAGACTGCTTGGGCTCATAGGTAAGTTCACTGTTCAAGCCCCTTGAGTCCTTGACCTCCTTGGTGGTACTGCCAAGAAGGGAGCTAAAGAGTGAGATTTAATTTTCTTATGGGCATTTTATTACTTCAGTTCAGTATGTCTGGCTTTTCAAAGGGCTAAATTTTGAAGACCAGGGGTGAAATTGTGATCCCAGTGAAATTAATGTGAGTTTTGCTATTTGCTTCCATGAGGCCAGGATTTCATGCCCAGAAGACAGATTTAAACACTATACATCCTACCTAAATCTTTGCATGATGCTGAGTACATGACATTATTGAAAATCAGCCCATTTCCCTCTGGGGGTAGATTACTCAAAAGTAAAGAGAAACATACAGTTTATAATAGACAGTGGAAAACATATGGAAGATATCCTTGAAGGGCAAGAAAAAAACTAACATGGCACTAAAACACACATACATACACAATATATTTTATGATTGAATTGTGCTTCCTTTATTCTAAGTGTATTTTTTAATTATTAATGTACTAAGTGCTATAGTGTTTCCTATTGTCACTAGGTGATGCTTTCATTAAGCAATAGAATAAATAGTTCTAGCACAGTTCTGTTTTGCTTCATGTTCCAGGTTTCTTTCTTTATGCATAGTTTTGGTTTCTCCATCTTTAGAAGAGACTCATCCTTGTGTGAGGTTGAATATCATGTTTCAGATGCACTCTGATTCCCCTCAGGAGTTATAAACTGTACTTTGGGCACCATGAGGGAGGAGTTGGTCCTCCTCATGGAGTTGTTTCTTCTTATGGAATTGTTTCTCCTCATGGAGTTGCGTTTTCTTAGAGAGTTCTGATGGGACAGCTCGCTCTTCTGGAGGGTCTGGATGAGGATGGAGGGCTTTTCATCTAGCTCCCGAGCACTGCAGCGTGGAGCAGCTACCTTGATTGTGTTGCCAAATTTGGAGTAATCAACAGCATATACTCCTTCTTCTTCTGTTACGATGGGCACAAAGCGGTGGCCCCACAGGATCTCCTCTGCTATGTAAGATGTTCTTGCTTGCGTGGTGATGCCTGTGGTCTCTACTACTCCTTCAAGTATCACTATAAGTTCTAAATCTTGGTTGACCAGGTCAGAGGGGGAGATATCATAAAGTGGACTCCGCTTGTCTATAATATGGCAAATGATTAAAGGTGCTACCAGGAAAATGTTGTTGCTTTCAATGGGGTTGTCCACTGGGATGTCCAGCTGGTGAATAGGGATGATCTCCCCTTCGGGCGTAGTAGTCTTCCTCACTGCCTGTATTCTCACAGAAGCACTGATGATCATGCTTTTCCTCAGATCTCCCACTCTGAACATGAAGCAAAGTCTGCCATTTCGAACAGCAATAACTGCATGCCGGCTGAAAATCAAAGTCTCTGCCCTCCTGTGAGCCTGAGCGGTTTTCATAAATATGCAGCCCAGCATGACAGCATTAATAATCAAACCCACAATGTTCTGTAGAATCAAGACGGTGATGGCTGTTGGGCATTCCTCTGTCATCATTCTGCCTCCAAAACCAATGGTCACCTGAACCTCAATGGAGAAGAGGAAGGCAGAAGTGAAAGACCTACGGGAAAGGTTTAAACTCAGTTAAAGATATCTGAATACAGCAGATCTAAATATCGAAGTCAACTGGGAACATTCAGTTGGAAGTAGATCGAGCGCCCATTCCTACAGTTGTTGTGCACTTAAAATTCCCATTGACTTCAGGCAGAGCTTTACCTGTCTGACATTTTCAGGATTAGTGACATGGTCTAATTACTGTACTGCAGACTCAGGAGCCTGCCGGTCCTGAACAGCGATTCTGTGGTCCTTGGCTTTGGCAAATCAGCTAACCTCTCTACCTTAACAGCCCATGTTCCTCCCCAGGTTGGCAAGCAGGGTGTTCTGACACAGCCCCCACTCCAAAAGTCTTCTACCCTCCAAAGCAGTGAGGGAAAACTATAAAGATTAGTATAGCCTGAGGTTATTAAATTATACTCGTTTCCCCTCTACCCTGTGAACACCTTTAATAGGACCATAGGGGATAATCATACACCAGGATATCCGATTCCTGCAGAAACCATACTGGTCAAGGGTATGAGTGACTAGTGGGATCAACCAACAGAAAGAAGGTAATGGATCTCTCCACCCAATTCTCATCTCCTCAAAGGTTGGGAATGTTAGGACCCAGGGTTTTGGTCAGTGTCAAGGCAAGGCTAGCTGCAAAATTTCAGTCTAGATTTAGGATTGCAAAGGTTACCAGACAAGCAGCATCTGGTTTATTTACAGTTCCTAGGGTTTTATGCAAACCTATATCAACTAATGACAAGGGCCCTTTTCATATACTAGTGTCCATAACCATATGTAACATCCACACTCGTAAGAGTTATGTTTACATGCAACCATCTCAGAAAAGTGTATCTAAATTACTCCTTTGTATTGGGCTTGGTTTTAGATGAAGGAAACTGGATCAGCTTTTAAATATCTCCCTTTTTATTATGTTTTCAGAGGACTAGAATCATGAAGAAAATTTTAAAATATTTTATGGCATATGCAGTATCAGGAAGGGAATACAATGGACGGAGTGACTCCCAATAAAAGAGTGCTGAGCTGTAGATTTAAAAAACCTCATTGGATGAGGTTTGGTTACAAACATGGACTTTTTAATTTATTTTTTCATTCTTGGAAACCACCAGAAAAGCAGTGGTATGGCTGTGTTTGGTTTATGAAGAATTAAGGAGCAAAGGGGTTAATATATTAATAACTAGAGTTAATGAAAAGGTTAATATGTTAATGAATATTTTGAACAAAATTAAGTCTATAGATGAAACTTTACTTCACCATTATCAAGGCTGTGTAGTATAAAATGACCAGCTTTCCTTTAGATACCTTTCCTTTAAAAATTCTACATTTTTATGTACTAAACTCCATTTGTTTATTTATTTATATTTATCTGTTTTATATGCCTCTCTTGTTGAAGAACACTGTGGTTTAGTAGTGTAATAATGTGAACACAGAACTAGGAGCCAGTACTCTAATTTCAGTAATTCCAGGTCTCTCACTAACTCTCCTTGTAGCTTTGGCAATAATTTCCATTTTTATAAAATGGGGTTGTAGGAAGTGTTATGAAGCTCAGTTAGGATTTGTGCAGACTGAAAAATATAAAATGGTATGTAAGTATGGGTTAGACTTTCCAAGACTAGGTGTCCTTTGACTCTGCTTAGAAAGCTTTTATTTAAGTTCCTAGTATGGATTAAAGAGTCAAAATGCAGATTTATTTTTTTGGCTGTTATTATTTCCACCTACAATAAAAATATCAAATATTCTTTTTACCACACAGAGACTCAGCTATTTTTAAAAGTATTACTGTTCATATTTTTATTTCATAACTGTTCAAACTGGTAGTTTTAACAGAACAGAGTATTTATTAAGGAAAAATATTCTTCACAACTAGAAACAAAGATGCTTGACTACCTTTTGGCCTGAAACACCATACATACTAGCACTATATAGCAACATGTGTTAAAATAAAACGTTATACTACTCCGTCATTTGTTCTGGTTGTTTATAACCCTTAGGATTTCCCTTGCTACCAAATGTAATGATCTTATTGGAATTCCTACTTGCCTAGGTATTGTGTAGCATAAATTTAGCATAATTACTGAGGTTTCTCAATAGTTGACAGACTGCATTTAGATAACGTCAGAACTTTAGTCCTGATACAGCTCTTTTGTGTTGGGGTAACAGCACTAAAAAGCCATAAAACTGTCCTAAGCAAGAAGCTGAGGATTTTCTTTTTTTAAGAGCAAGGGACTATTGGGAATTTGTACAGCAGGGGGCATGACTGGAATGCTGGCATGTTCCTGGAATCCCCAGCTGGTATAGTGGGCAAGCACTGTCTGTGGGGATTCCAAAGAAATGCTAATACTGAGTCAATGTTAACTTCAGTGCATGCATTTCTCGCTATGGATTTCCCCTTGGGAGGGGATGTCCCAGAGTCACAGCCAGCAGAGTCCCAAAGGAGAGACTCCACTGGAGCTCAGTTTCTGCCATGGACCTGAAAGGTACGACATGAGGTTCCTGCCCAAAAGTAGAAAGGTGGATACCGATGGTCCTTCCACACCTAAGATTTACAGGCTTGTAGGGTGTAGCCACATGCCAATTGTGCCAGGACAAACCCCATTACCTCCCCTCCTGTGACAATTAAAAGAAAATGCTGTGAGTCTGGAACCTCACAGAACTGCCTTATCAGGGATGATCTGAGCCTTAATTGCTCTTTTCAGAAGAAATAACAGTTAAGAAGAAGAAAAAAAATCAGGAACAACGAAGTTGACTTTAGCTTAGAAGAAAGAAAAGTGCCGCTTATAAAAGCAGCGTGAAAATAGAAAGGAATGAAGGAAGAATCAGGTCCTTCTTAAGCCAGAAATACTCACAAATTTAAAGTTGTGGTATACGCATAGAAACTACTATAGTTTTTGAATCAGAAAGGGAAATAAAAGGATATTCTGGTTTTATGGACTTAAGGGCAGGTAAAAGTGCTATGGGATCTAATGCATGACCCACACAATCGCGCCTCCTGCCAAGCCACATGTCAGGCAGGAGGTGTGATTGTGGGATCACTCATTAGATCCCATCACACCTTATTGACAGTTCAGGGAGACCCTGCGGCTGCAAGACCAATAGTGGATGGGGCTTGGTGTGGCTCACAGTCGGGGCAGTGTTCCCTGCACTGCTCCTGCTGCAAGCATCATCCACTGTGGGGCTCTCTCACAGAAGGCTCGAAGCAGCAGCAGCATTCCCTCGCTGTGAGCCACGAAGCCCACCATGCTGTGCAGCTTGCTGTGTTGGCAGTGAGAACAATGACACCACTCTAAACCTTGTGGGGTGCAGGACTCGCAGCAGCAGTGAAGAAGTCACTGTTGGGAGCTTTGTGTTTTATCATGCTGTCGTCAATTGGTTGAACAGGTACCTAGGTAATTGCATAAGCTGTACAAGGGGATTAGTTCTACAGTCCAGTCCCTGGTGAAGTCTCTTACATGAGTGCAGCATGGGTAAACTGTAACCATTCTGGTTTGCTAACCTACTTCGTGCTGGTGTAGAAGACAGAACAACATAGTCCTGGGCCCTCTCTGTTCCAAGAATATGCTATTGCTGGCAAAGTTCTCTTACTGCTTGCCCATAAATCCAATTAACGGATATCCTTTTGGTTCTGTAAGTATACAGTTTATATACTATTCCCTCCTGAAGTCATTTGGCTTCTACTCTGAAAAACTGCAGGGCTTGGGACATTATGTATGTGTATTTACAGGACAATAAAACACTTCTGTGTGATTTGAATACATTACTCCCAAAATTCCTATACTGTTTTTTGCAACAGATCTCATGTGATATAGTATGTCACAGCACTCAGTCTTTAATTGAAACTGATGGCCTAAATCAGCCTCATAAATGACCAGTAATATGGGATGCTTTCTGAATTTCTGGCTTCCCAGCTAGAGACATCTTAAAGAGGCCTAATTTGCCACCTTGGAAATTAAAAAGAGGAGAGATGTTCTGCTGTTTCTGGAAAACATGCCTTTTAAAGATGCTCTAAATAAGGAAAGCCAGAAATTGAGACACCCAGTTTCAATAATCACCTTTGAAACTTTGGACCCATGTTCTCAGTTTGCCCCATAAGCCATGTTTCACTGTCATGGTGTGAAATTTCCTTTGGACCACACCATATTGGAGATGATGCCACTGATGCAGACGGCACTGCATGTAAAACATATACCCAGTGCTGCAACTCTCTTGCAGCTGACTTTATTTTTACAGGCAAGGAATGTTACCAACCTATTGTGTAGACACATGAAAAGCTGCAGGGTCTCTGTCACTTTTACATCCTTAAAGGACTCAAGAAATCTGCTTTTCTAAGCTTGGGGGGCTTCTAGGATTGATGGTGTCTAGAGGAAAACACAACATGTCTCAGTTGTCTCTACTGTATTATACAGTTCAAGAAAACCAAAACCTAATTTTAGACTTGAGCAGCATGGCAATCCCATCACCCTATTCCTAATGTTTTGCGTATCATACTTTACCCAACATCTGTCACGCACGGTGTCCAGTTGGCACTGCCTTTACTGTTGTCTATTCTATCCATGTCTCCATGGGCAAAAGCCACCAGCCACCACGCCATGGCAAAGAGAAGCCAGCTGCAGAGAAAGGACATCGTAAAGATCACCAGTGTGTGGCGCCACTTCAGGTCCACCAAAGTAGTGAAGATGTCTTGCAAAAAGCGGCCTTGTTCTCGGATGTTCTTGTGTGCCAAGTTGCATGCCCCATTCTTGGCAATGAAGCGGGCCTTGCGTGGACGGTCTCGGACACGTGGCTTCCGGAGGTTTTCAGCAGCGATCCGTGCCAGTACATACTCTTCAGGGATGATGCTCTTCCTAGCCAGCATCTTCCTGCCACCATAGTCTACTTAGCAGAGCACAAATTGGGAATGGTTCTTCAAATGCTTTTTCACTGGTCTCACTTTCCACCCTTATCTTGTCTTCAAAGTCCTGAGGAAAAGAAGAACATGATCTGGTTTGCCACTGTTTCACTTTTTCCCTAGACAATAAATTGATTTAAGCACATGGATTACGTAGACCCCCAGGGAACAGCTGTTAAATTAAACATTGCTGTAGGATTATTCCATTCAATTCATCATTTTAGATTATCTGATCAGGGAAAAGCTCTTAAAACAATTTTTAAAAGTTTTGGTATTTCCCCTCCCGACATTTCTAGAGTAATGGAAGCCACAGAAAGTTCTTGTAGTTGTCCATCAAAAGAAATGGTGTTTCACAACAGAAAGCACAGATCGTACAGATCGTGCCCTTCCTGTCTAACTACAGTAAACTCTCTGGTAACCGGCATCTTACAAGCCGGTATGCTCTGTTAACCGGCAGGCCGGCTTGTAAGGAAAAGTGAAACCGGAAGTGCCCACCATGGCACTTCCAGTTTCTCCAAGCCCCCACGGCCCGGGGGCATAACAGACTGTGTGGGGCTGTGCGGTGCCTGCCTCCATGTCCTGCAGGGCAGCGATGCCATGGGAGAGGCAGAGGAGGTGGAGGGATGCCCCAGACACGGCGGAAGAAGTGGCAGCCAGGGCTGCTCAATTAACCGGCATATTTTGTTATCTGGCATCCCACATTCCCGGGGGATGCTGGATAACAGAGCTTTTACTGTACTATGTAACTCCCATTGAGAAATACTCATCTGAGTACAGTCACTTGTATACTTCAGAATCTGCAGGATCAGGCCCTTAACAAGGGCCTTATTTAACAAGGCCCCAGACAGCAGTGCCAGCCCGATGTACGTTTCTTATACAAACAGCCTTACTGAAGCCAATTGGGCTACTCACATGCTACTCATTTGCATGAACAAGTGCCCCGTTCTTAGTCCCAAACAGGAGCGTATGTAGAATTCCGAACAGTGGGGTGCAGACACTGAGGCACATCATCACATAATAAAAACACACATTTTCTCTCCAGTTAAAAATAAAATAGAAGCTTTGCTAACATGCTAGGGACCTAGGGCTGTATTATTCAGTTGAAGCTTGAAGCAAAAAGAAATACAACTTTGAATGAGTTAAAAACAATCTGCAGGGATATGAAACGGGAGCTTCCTTACCAGGAGCAACTAACAGACAGGAGAATTGCAGATCAAAGGATAGCTTAGTTGGTGGAACAGCAAGACCATTAAAAAGAAAAGAAGACCCTTAACACCTGTGGAATGAAGAGTTTAGAAGGGGTCAAGTAGATTACAACGATCCATGAAGTCAATTGACTCCCTCAGCACTGCCTGACTAAAAATGCTGGTGCCACTGCTAGACAGTTGGTTTTAAACTTTGGGTGGAGCAGGCATCAAAGGGGGTGGGGGGAGTGCACCCCTCCCCCCAAAAATCTGCCCCTGGTCCCAAATGACCATGCACTTCACAAAAAAAAAATACGGAGAGACTACAGGCCAGATTATCCATTATTTTGTTTGGAGAAGACAAGACATTTGGAGCTGAGGAGCAGACAGCAGTTGAAGTTGTTGCTATTGTATTATTATTAATATTACTACTACAACAACAGCAGCGACAACCTAAACTCTTCCAGCTTTTCTACTGCTGTTGTAATAATAATTATTACCATTTATTACTACTACTATAATAGCAATAGAAAAGTTGAAAGTGCTTGTTATTGCTACTGTAATATTACTCCTCCTCCTCCTCTTACTACTGCTATAGTAGCAGCAACAATCTAAACTTTTCCAGCTGTTTCATTGCTACAGTAGTAGTAGTAGTCAATAATAATAAAAATAATTACTATTTTTTGTTATTACTATTATTACAACAGCAACAGAAAAGCTGGAAGAGTTTAATTTGTTGCTACTGTAATACTACTACTACTGCTATTCATATTACTACTACTATAGTAACAGCAGCAACCTCAACTCATCCAACTTTTGTATTGCTATTACAGTAGAAGTAATAAACAGGAATAATTATTATTACAACAGCTGCTGCTGCTGTAGTAGTAGTAGCAGATACTAATACAAACTACTAGTAGTGCTACTAATACAATAGCAGCAACCTAAACTCTTCCAGCTTTTCTATGGCTGTTGTAATAAAGTAGTAAGAAATAATTGTAATAACAGTAAATAGTAATCATCATTATTACAACAGCCATAAAAAACCTGGAAGAGTTTAGGGTGCTGCTGTTATTGTAATAATAATAACAGCAGTAGTAGTAGTAATAAAATAAGACAACAGCAAGAACAATAAGAAGACAGGAGCAAGAATAACAATATTAATAAAAAGACAGTAGCAAGAACAATAAATAATAAGGCAATAGCAAGAATAATAATTGTAATAATAGTAAGAATAAGATAGTAGCAAGAATAATAGTAATAGCAACAGCAATGGTAATAATAAGACAGTAGCAAGAACAATACTAGTAACAGCAATGATAATGAGTCAATAGCAAAAAGAGTAATACGAATAAGGCAGTAACAAAAACAATAATGTTAAGAATAATCATCATAAGACAGTAGCAAAAACAACAGGCATAATAATAATGCAAGACAGTAGCAAGAAGAAGCCAAACTCCTCCGGCTTTTCCCGCGAGCCGGGACTCACCGCGCGGGGGCAGGCGGGGCGCTAGGTGCTGCGCCGGGGGCCGCCTGCCCGCGTCCGCGGCGTGCGCATCGCGGCGGCGG